ATAATACTTTCCCAGCTACATTTTCACTTTTGAACGCCATTTTCATACTAAACTGGCGTCATCAAAACAAAAGAAAGGCAAGAAAATGAACGCGCGTTTTTACAGTTGTTTTTCTTTCTCTTTATTCCTATCACATTATAGTCAATGGCCAAGGCATGAAGAAAATCTGCCTTACGCAACAAATGCTTCATGGCATGAATAAAATAAGAATTGAGTAGCAACAGTTTCATGTCCTGCTGCAGTGTTGTCTGAAATAATAAAACTATCATTATGTAGTGATCATGATGTAGTTATTATAACTGTATCATATTTAAATTCCGATTATATGCAATTTCCCATTAGAAAAGGTATACCTGTAAATGACTCCTTTGAGAAGTACATGAATCAAAGATCTGCTGGGTGGGAAGCTTTAATAATCAGAGAAAAACAGCTGCATGTGCCGCAACTACCTTAACAAACACAACAATACCAATTGCGCGCGCACTTATAAAGAGACACATATGTGCATAGAATCACGCTCACACACACACAGCGCACTCGTAATGAAAATCTTTTTGCAGAATTAATTAAGTAAACAATAAGAAAATTGTGAAAATTGCTTTGAATGCGTCCCCAAGCGAACGAACACACACGTAGAAAGACAGAAAGGCATAAACAACTTATCCCCACATGCGGTACAAACACTCACACACACACACGCCTCCCGCACACATCAGAAGTTATTGTGCGCAGCTGTTGTTGTTGCCTTTACTCATTATGATTATCATTCTACTTAATAGACAAAAACGATGGGTGCTGTGGCCGAAGTACAGCTAAAGCCGGGTGTAAAGCTGGTTACCAAAGGCAGACAACGTTCATTGTGCATTAAAAATTACACCGTACTTTGCGTTAATGATAAGCCACAGTAAATGGGGCACGTCGGAATATATTTTTCGAAAACTCGGACCAACTAAAGACTTATCTATCCAACATAACCAACTTATTTTCGAAATGCTTTGCAATTATTTCAAAGTAATAATATGCATCTGACAGCTCTGTTCACTAAGATACCAAGATATACCCTCAACTAGATGAAGTTAGCGCTACGAGTTTGTTTGCCTTGGCTTTAAACTTTTATTAATTTTTTTCACCTAATCAATGCGTAAAAGGATACACTAAGTATAAGTTTAAAACAAGTAAGGGGCTTTAGTCGGGAGCTCCCGACTAGTGGATACCCTGAACCCTCTTATTTCGTTTGTAGTAGTGGAAATAAATTTTAAAAAAAGTTACCACACAAAAATTGAATTATTAACTTGATTTATAAGTAGCTATGAGGTAGTAGCGGGAAGGTGGCGGTAGGTATACTATGAAAGACACTTGATATATATATACTAGTCTAGAAGCAACATATCAATTTGGCGACTCTAGCTCTTATAATTTACAAAAGTTGCTCAAAAAAACAGGTTGTCGATATCGATTTATCGATTGCTTTGAAACGGAGTAAGTTATCGATTATCGGAAACAAGCTCGATCTGCGTAGGCACTAGGAGGACCTACAGCTTATATTTAACCCATTAAAAATGGATAAAAAGGGTATAATGTATTTGTGCAAATGTGTGTAACAGGCATAAGGGATATATATTTTTGATCAGCATCAATAGCCGATTCGATCTAGCCACGTCCGTCCGTCTGTCCGTCTGATATCAGAACCTATAACCTAACTATATAATTTATTAGCTTCACTTTTTTTCCATACACATATTTAAGCAAAATGTATATTATATGGAAGTTTAAGTTGCAATTTCAATATTTGTCAGTTGATCCGGACGACGCGGAGTATTTCGTTGTATATATATGTATATTATCTAAAATATCCAAAATGGGGCCGTTGCTTCTGTTTTATTATCGTTTTTTAATTGAAAAATCTTTAGTGCTGCTCGTCGGGTATGACCGGGGGGATGCGTGGGGAATCTTTTACCGGTTTTGCCAAAACACACGTAGACAAAGTCGCTACGAAAATGCTTGTATGTAATAGGCTGAAAGAGGAAGGGAAAAAATTTGTATTTGGTTAAAATTCTTAATTGTCTTATAGGCCTGTCATCATTAGTATGATTTGCGCTTTACCTACGCTTTCGTAGCCTACCATAATATGTTTATATTAAGCTAGAAAGCTTTACATTTGGAGGGAATGACAGAATGCTGCAAAGAGAGAAACGTATTTGTTGTGCTTTAAAATATAAGTCAAAACATCTTTAGGTCCGGACGCCGCCGCTCTTTCCAGAAATATTTTCGTGACTAGCTCAGCTATGTGAAACTGTTAAGTTTCTGTGAATTAACATTGGAATTGACTACTTCATTACTTTATTAACACATCAAACCTGTATATGTATGACCAATTTTTAAATTATCAAGAACGACAAAATATAGTTTATGTACTGTGCGTTTTCAAACAAAACTCATTTGTCAAACAACACTATTTGTAGCCATATAATAAAGAAGCTCTATGTTACGGCGATTGTTCTTGGATATAATTGAAGGGTTTGCCTAGGACAGCGTAAATAGGAAAAAACAATTTGTTTATCTGACTGTGTCAGTAGGACCCATTTAACTAAGGTGTTCGATAAGCGATTACAGAATCATAGGGTGTCCCGCAAAGCAATTTACATGGCCCTGTGCTGTAAACGGTGTATACGTGCCGAGCTCGCCACTCAAGGACACAACAACCCAACCGTCAGCCCTGCGAGACTGTTGTTGACAACGTTCGCGGATAATACCGCCGTTCTGGCCTCGCTCGAATCCCTACAGGCTGCAACAAATGCTGTGCAGGACTGGAAATGTAGACAGCGAACTGGAACATCGCTATAAGCTGCTCCAAGTCCGCTTGCGTCAGCTTCACACTACGCCAAAACAGTTGACAGCAGCTTTCTTTTTATGGTGGGACCATTGAGCTCACCAGCTCATTCTGCAATCTTGACATCCACCTGGACCGTAGGCCCATCGCGGGTTCCCACATCACAGCAACCAGATCAAAATGCATGACCGGCTATTCAGTCCATTAAGCAAGCTGCAAATTTTAACGAAAGCGCTGCTCATAAGAGCGATGCTAACGTCCAACTGGAACTTCGCAGTCCAGCTTCATTAAATAAGAGCATTCCAAGCCGAAGCAGCCCGCAAGAAGGCCGGCCCTCCATGGTACAAGAAAAACGATGCCATCGAACGCGATCTCCGCCTAACTAAGGTCGGAGATCAGATCAACTTCTCCAGCAGCCACTAAGCCAAAAAGCTGCTGCGGCACCCGAAGGTGGTCGCCAAAGCCCTGGCTGACCCCATCAAAGAGAGGCGCCTCCAAGGGTTGCACCCTTGTGACCTAACTACGAGGTGAATCATCGAAGCACACCTAAACGCAAACAATGTAAGCGCCATTAAATCTTACAAATATTGTTATTATTCATTATATAGCAGTCCTTCGCTTGGTCGAAATCAGAAGATACTGATCAGTTCCAGCGCTAATAAAACAAATTGAATACTTAAAAAAAATTGTAATTCGTAATACGCAGATAGAAACAAATTCTTATCGTTGGGGAGTAAGTTAGAAATTCCTCTGAGTTTTAAATGTTGTGAAACCTGTGTCAACAAGCATCTTATCATTATGAATTGCAAAAAAATATAGTTAGGCCACCGAATTAACGTTTTTCAAATTGTTGTAATTCTATGCATAGTTTTTTTCTGAAAAGGTTCTTTCTAAGGTCATTCAACAGTATAATTTAATTTAAGACATAGGCAAGTGAAAGTGATCTAGACGGGAGACACCGATACTGTATATACTATTGTAGAATCTACATGTATAATTTGGAGTCACTAGCTCTAAAATGTAAGATATTAACTCAATTATTTGATTAAAAGGAAACTCCTGTCTAGAGCTCTCTTGATTTAGTAATGGCTACAGTAACGGTTGTAGTGGTACAATATATAAAATATTTGTTTGAATTATGCTTAACGTTCTGTTGGAAAACATTTCTTATCATATGTAAAAAGGTTAAGTTGTTGTTTTTATATCTTATAATTAACGTTAGATTTTATGTATTTGTTTTTTAATTGCTTAGAAACTAGTTTAATTTTACGTCATATGAATACACTTTTTCTTTGTGTGCATAGGCAAAGAGAAACACTTTAATTTCTCGATTTTATGATCTATGTAGTATGTCAAGTACAATAAATGCAGCTCCATTGTCTCTGAACCATCGATTATATGATGATGTTTACGATCAATTTGTTTTATGTTTGTTCAGCTGACTGTTGTATTCTAATGGCTGACGATTGCCTTGTAAAATCCAAACAGGTCTTAGACCGTCTACCGTCGCAGTCCCAACTCACGAACGCTTTTATGTCAAGATCAGTCAAGTGGCGCAAGTCAGAGAGACCACGACAAAGGCACACACAAAGACACACACACAGACTAAACATAGACACCGAAACAAAGAACACCGTTACAAGCTTTACTTTCACTTGTGCAAACACAGAGCAAACTTGCTCCAAGAATAAGAGCTCACGATGCCATGAAGCTCATTTGGCGGCTGCCTTTGCTGTCGCGAGGGTCATCGGCGGCCCTAATAGTGGAGCCGGCTGGAGAATAGAAGCAACGCTTGGACTTCAGTTCCACGCGGCACTGGCATCAGTAGCATGTCAGGGGGCAAGCCAAGCGGTCCAATTTACCGAGTCCAATTCGCGCTTTGTGATATCTAGTACGCATTATTTCTCTCTCTCTCCCTCTCTCTCTCTCAATCTCTCTCTTTCTCTCTCTCTCTCTCTGTCTCTCATTCTTTCGCGCTCTATTATTATATCTCTAGTAGATTGTTTGCCACAGTTCCGCGGACTCGCCCATCCACATACCAAATTCTTTGCCAAGCGTTGATGCATAAATTTGCCAATCCATCGTTTATAAATTTTTACTATTTTCGGCTTTTTAAATTTTATTTTATTTTATTGTTGTTTTTTTTTTTCGTGTTGCTAAAAGCGTTTGCATGCCAACGCACGGGATTTGTCGGCACATCACCCCACAACAACGGGAGCAACTACAGAAGCAGCAAAGATGCCATGAATTTACCTGGGTCTGGGTCTGTCTGCTGCTGCTAAGCAGCATCTGCGGGTCCGGGGCCCATTTGCACAAGTGGAACATCTTACAAAAGAGTTTTCGGTATATGCAGGAGACCATGCTGAGTAACAGCTTAGATCGCGCTCATCTGAACTATGGAATTGTGTTTGAGTGCCGCACTATGTAAGTGTTCCGTTCAAAATAAGACTCAAGATCATAGATTCTCTCACCTTGCACGCTGTAGCTCCGACATGGATTTGGGAGAGGAGGTACACTTTCATTTACAGCTCGGCGACTTGAGTGGTTTCCGTCGTTTGGATGCAAAAAAGAAGTTGGCATTGTTTTTGCATGGCTGGAACGATCAGGGCAGCAAGGACTGGGTTCAAGAGCTATTATTGAGTAAGTCAAACAAAATGCAAACTTCGGACTCTAATTAATAGCTAATTTGGTCTATGTGTAAATGTTTAATAATTTCAAGTATACAGATCTGAGCCAGAAAGGTGCAAGACCAAGTGAAAGTGAACAAAATCGAACAGCCCTCAGCATTATAACTCTGAACAATCAGCAGTTTTTGTTCACATTATGTCTACTCTCATTCTTATTTCCTGAACCAATTGAAAGTGGATAAGTCTATCTTAAAACCTCCCCAAGTTCCCGCAATGAGTTTAACTCCGTGAATCAGTTATTTGACGCGTTTCCCAGCAATCGATTAAAATCGATATCTAAATCCTGTTTTCTGAGCAATTTTGGTAAATAATAAGAGCTAGAGTCATTAGACCCTACATGTAGCTGCTATAATAGTATATATATATAAAGCATCTATCATTTTATAGCTATTACCACCTCCCCGCTACTACCTCAAGTGAAAACACCAATTTATGCTGTCCACCAATATAAGCCACAATTAAAATGATATTGACTTTTTGATAATACACGAATATTCTATAGTACAATTAGATGCACTGACAATTTCATTGAGATCTATTTAGAAACACACGCCAGCGCAAATTCCAATAATTTCTGTATACACACATAAATGCACGTTTTCTTTAAATTCTATCAACAGCATTTTCTAACTTAATTCGTTTTTTTTCACTTACAAGCATTTGGGTGCCATATTGGTTCCCTGGAATGTTGATAAAGATAAAAAAAAAAACGAAGCAAATCACGAAAACATCTGTATGATAAGGTATTCTACGCTTTATTCCAAAAGAATTTATTAGCAATTTTTTTATCGTAGATTAGTTTTACTAGTTGTAATATTATTTTGCCCATAATTTATATCGGACTTTGTATTATCAGCTTGGACCCTCTTTGATGAAGGTTACAATGTATGCGTTGTAGATTGGGGCAATCTGTCACAGAATGATTACAAAAGCGCCTCAATGTCTATATTTGATGTTGGTTTGACAGTGGCGGGCATAATCATTGCCCTGGAGGAAATGCGACCGCGTCACTTTAATCGCCACAACGTCACCCTAGCGGGATATAGTTTAGGCGCTCATGCAGCAGGATATGCGGGGGCCGTCCTAGATGGTCAAGTGGAGCAAATAATTGGCCTGGATCCGGCAGGGCCTCTGTTCACTTTACCGGCTGCTGTTCACCCAAAGTATCGGCTTGACCAAACGGATGCAAAGTTTGTACAAGTCCTGCATACCTCAGGCGGCACCTTGGGCACCAGTCTTAAGTGTGGGCACGCTGATTTCTATCCGAACGGTGGACGAGCTCCCCAACGCAACTGTTTGATGTTTATGAATCTGCGCGATATGCAAAACACAAGTAAGTTCCGTAAACAGGCGAAAATCGAATAAGAGATTAACCTTTGCCTTCTATAGATCCTATTGCCTGCAGTCATTCGGCAGCGGCCATTTTCTTTAGGCAATCAATGGATCCGCAGTACCCCTTCATTGGGTATCAATGCGATAGCTATCGCGAATATCTTTCTGGCCGCTGCGATAACAATCGCCGCGCTCTTTTTGGGATTCACTCTCATCGACGGATGCAAGGCAGTTTCTTTTTTGACACCACGTCCAGCCACCCCTATGTTCAGCGGCAGCGCTCGAACCGCCTTTGGAATTGGATTTTGGAAAGGTCTCAGAATCGGAATCGCATAAACGACAGGCACTTAAGTAGCGACAATGCCAAAGGTGGCGAACTCTTGCGTCAACGGCCGTGGACGCGGAGGCGTAGTAGGGAAAGCCAACGTTGCCAGTGTGAGAGGTAATGAACAATATAAAGGCAGAGTTAGAGAGTAGAGCGGAACTAGTTCCTAGTGTTGTTTCTGTTATACATGCATATGTATGTAAGCACAATATTATATGTACTATATATGATTAAAAAAAAATAGTCTAAAAATATGCAACCAACCATGCCCTATTTTCCACTTTCGCTGAGCATGATAGATGACATATGGACAAGCTTTACAGTTTTATAGGATAACCAATTTGCTGAGCCACCCAAAAGTTACCCTAAATTCTGTAAATTCAGCATTTTGTTTTTTGGCCATGAATATATAGAATACATGCTAAAATTGTCTAGCACATTTATATCGTTATTGTTGGTGTTGGGTTGAATACCGTCAAATAAAAACAAAACATCGGAATTACTGATCTAGATTCTGGCTACTATGTTAGTAAAAATAACCGTTCATAATTAAGTGGCTTCACTGTCATATGGTAAGAGGGGTCCGTCTGACATCTACATACTGATATAACTGCACATGAACATAAAATAATTTAACACTTAATGTGGGCCAGGTTTTGGACGCGGACCCGGACCAGGACCCAGACTGTTGCCAGGACCAGTAGAAATGCAACTCGCATAACTCATGCGAAGTCGACGGCCGCGCTGGCGACGACGGCGCCATAAATTTCAAAACAGGAAGCACCGAGCAAAAACAACTCCCAACTCAAGTGGAATGTAACAGAGCAACAACAGCAGGAACAAGAAAACGAACAAGAACAAGCAGCAATATAAGCAGAACAGGTCTCATGTAGACGGCAAATATTAACTACCTTTTAGCAAAGGCGTGCCCAATGCGAAGGGCCAGCTGACGTAAAGTTGTAGAAAATTATGTTTTACAATGAGAAAATTGAATTTCAGTTTATTGTTTTCGCTTTTCATTTTGTTTTACGATTAACTGTTAAGTGCAGCCGCCTGCATGTTGCGTATACACAGTGGCTCACAACGACAACGGAGAATGGGGCCAGGCATGGGTCGAACATTGTTGCGCGCCAATGACTTCCTGGCAGTCTGTATATCGGTTCGTTCTTTACGTTGGTGTGAGAGTTTTGTTTTTATTCGGACAACCTTTTGTAGGTACATTGTACATGGTAATACCAAATTTTGATACCCGACAAATTAAATGGATATATTTTAAAGTTACCAGCGTATACACGTTTATTTCGAGCACTAAAGGAACGTCTGATTCAGTGAATTTATTGATATATCTAAAATGATTAGCTCGCTCTGTAAATGGCAAATCACAATATATATTTCAAATTTTAAGACTTAACGTTAGTAGTTTTCGAAATCGATTTAAAGATCTAGGAAATAACGATCCAATCGATGAAGCTAATAATCCGTGAAACTAAGCAAATTTCCTAGACCTACAGAATTGTCCGTAACTAGAGCTCATGCTCTCTCAATAAAATTTCAATTTTTTCAAATTTATTTATAATCATCGAAAACGCTGAATTAACTGGATTTTGATTCCCTGAAATTCGAAGTGTTTGCAAAAAGGTCAAATGAACAAGCAAATAAAGATTCGGGTATTATATACTTCGTATTATTAACACAATAGAGCTTTCTTTTGAAATCAATTTATGGGGAGTCAATTTTACAAATTTATTTCTTTTATTTGTTTCCCAAATCCGTTGCAAATGGGTAAAAGTGGCATAATGCTTTGCTGCAATGTATGTAACAGGAAAAAGGAAGCATCTTCGACCCCATAAAGGATATGTATTCTTTTTCAACATTAGACGAGCCATTTCCGCAGCCGTTCTAGAGCTCGCACAATACAATTGTTTCCGATCATCGATCATTTGGCCCAAGCAATCGATAAAGATCGATATTACAGTTCAGTTTTCTTAGTAAATTTGTAAGGTTTTAAGAGCTATGATCACTAAGTTTGATATGTACCTTCTACTTAGAATAGTATTTACAGATGAAGTATATTTCATTTTACAGCAACCTCCACCCCATTCGCTATAAATCAAATCAATAAAACAATAGAATAAGGGTACAATTTAAATGATGTTGTCCTTTTGCCAATATATAAATAGTCTATAGCACAATAAGAACTGCTGCGGTTAAGAAGCACCAAAGTTATTAAGGAAAACGTACTGTTATAATAGCAGGCCACGTGCGATAACGTGTGCATTTGAATTCAGTTTTTGTTTTATGAATAAAATTATGATATTGGTATATTGGCTGAGGTATGAGGCGATGGAAAGTGGTTTGGTTGATAGAAGTTATTAGTTCGGCGCCCGCTAAGGGAACTAACTTTTACTTTTTTATTAGTGCTAAGGGAAAGGTGCGCGCAGCGTGATCTGAATTTGGTATTGTTAGAAGTTTTACCACTGCTAATATTGTATTCAGCAATAAAAATGTGTTTGTTTATTAAATATGTGCCCAATGCCTATCACTAAATATGACGAATGAAGTGGTAATGCAAAAATCGTGACAAAACCATAAGTTTTCAGATCAAAATAGTGCGTGCTAAACGGTCTACAAGCACAGATGTTATTCGCAGTTCTATTTGTTTAATTTAGAACTTAAATTAGCAGATTTAATGGTTATGGGACTTGGGTAAAATCGACAAAGAGCCTGCGGCAGTACGTTTGAACTACCAGAGCAGTTTTTAAAGACAGGTAAGAGTTCTCTAGTCAAACGTGCCTAGGGGATATCTTCAACCTTTGTTTACAAGACCCTGAAGCAGCTCTCAGCTTTGGCAAATATATTTACTTGGAAAACTATATGTTTTACGAGAAGTTAATCTAAATTTTCTTACCGAAGAGATTTCCTCGAAAAGCCAAGCTTATTTCGATTGGGGGCAAGCTAAGTAGCATGATATCTTGTTCAAAGGCAACATTTACTAGATTCACTATGCTCTTTTTATATGCGCAAAAGTCTATCAACATCAGATCACTATATCAAATAGCTTCTATTTAAATGATCGGTCAAAATTAAGTTTTTTTTTTGAGAACATTTTTGATTTAACCAAACTCAGCATATGTTACGTACACATATGAGGCAGATCCTATCAATATGTGACAACTATATCATACAGCTCTATAGGAAAAATCAGTCGCTTAATTACTTATTTAATGGGAAAATGTTCTGATTCCAAGATACACGTCTTATCATACTCTGCAATTGCAAGCTTAACAATATGATAAGCCGTAAGATATATAGTATCTCTACAGGGGCCTTAAATATTTCTTGTCGTTAGTGTTCTTCGTTATCACCAAAGCTAGTTATACCCTGAACCCATTAAAAATAAGTAAAAAATGTCTAATTTATCTCCGACCCCATAAAGTAAGTATATATTCTTGATCAGCATCACAAGCCGAGTCGATCAAGCCATATCCGTCTGTCTGTCCGTCCGTCTGTCTGTATGTATGAATGCAAGGATCTCAGAACCTATAAGTGCTAGAGGCTTTAAATATTATGTGTAGGTCCTCCTTGTTATAGTTATATATTTTAAGTATCTTTCATTTTATAGCTATCACCACCTCCCCGCTTCTACCTCATAGTCCAGCTCTTATAGGTTATTTATACATATGGATAGACTGATGGACATGGCTAGATCGACTCACTACTGATGCTGACCAGAACACACTTAATGAGGTTGAAGCTGCTTTCTTCTGCCTGTTTCATACATTTGCACAATATTATGTTTCAAATCATCTATAATTGACTCCCTTTCAAAGGAAACGATAAAATTACATATCGAAATCCAATATTTAGACCATATGCTTAAAGAGCTGGATTCACCAAATTTGACAAAAATATTTTTGTATTGGTTAAGAATAAATATATTAAACATTTTGGATGCCACATCCCTTTCCCTCAAAATTAAATAATAAAAAAAAAAAAAACAAGTAAGAGTGCTCCAGTCAGGGAGGCCCGACTAGGGGATTGGAGATAGATGTGAAATGAATGTACTTGATCTATTTATTCTATTGTGAAAAGTTTGGTGACTCTAGGTGACTCTTAAGAACTGTGAGATTTTCCCAAAAATTGACTGTTATCTGATAAGCCATGCTGGGGCGCTAAAAAAAATGTCAAATGCATTTTTGTCGATTTGACTCCATTAATTGTATGCGTATAGATCGAACGCTAGAGGGCTCTATGTATTATTATACAGATCGGACTGTAAGCACTAAAGTTATGCAAGAACTAACGCTGAGTGATGGGTTGTGTGTGTAAGAACAGGTGCTATTTACGTTGCAATGATCCATTACATTATTTTACCGTCAGACCCTTGGCAGAATGTATTCGGTGCACCTGGCGATGTCCTAACGTGATCCTGGCGAAGTTAAGTGTTTCTTTAGCTTAATAACAGAAATATTTTAGTTTCTGGTCTGCCTGGACGATACACGCTTACACAAAAACACATTTAAATGCTTCCTGCGATGTGTTAAAGCTGTACAAGGACGGGCTTTTGGCTTCTGCCATCAGTTTGTAAAAAAACGTCCTCCTCTGCCTGTAAATAACTCGCAGCTGGTGTCGGCATCATGGTCGTCGTTCGCTCTGGAACGCCCTCTATGCCGACGGTCGGAAAGACGGAAAAGTTGCAGGTCGTGCAGCCAGAGGCAACGTTTTCTTTTGATTACACGCCGTGGGGTCCTTCCATTGTTCTGCTGCCCTACCCACACCCCTCTCGAACAGTCTTGCCCACAATGTAGGTGTAAATGCAGGTGAGCATGAAGGATGAAATATTAACGCGTCGCCTTCCAAGTCCCTGGACAGCGTTCGGCGACCAGCGTCCTGCGTCTTGCACTCAATTTCAAAATGCAATTTTTACTAAGAGCGTACATCCGCCAAGCAACGAACTGAACAAGTCAGCAAGCCAGTCCCAAGCGAGGTGCAGCAAACAACATAGATAAAAGTGCATAAGCAAGTAAGAACGTTTGTATGAAAAAAAAAAACTCTCTACCAAGTTTCGCAACATACATTCGTAACTATTTATAACAATGTTTGTCCTAAGCTTTTAATAGA